TGCTTGTATCAATATGGGTGAATGAGCCGAGTCGTATAAAGTGTGTAGAGTAGAAAAGCTCTTCATAAGAAGTCTGTGCAGGTTCTCAGTCGCCCAGGTCATCGTAGTCTATGGAGCTCAGAAAGACAAATGTCTGTACTTCATTCATTCGACCTCAGTTAGTCACATGATAGGGTGGGGCTAGGTCTCACAGTGATTCACCAGAAACCACGGCTGATTGTGACCCACACCTGTTTTGACAGCTTGGCTCGTGTGATTAGGTAGAGGATCAATAGTTGGTCCATGACCCTTTTGGGGGGACACTCCCATAGGGCTTAGCATCTGGACTGCACCAGTTGCTCTCAGTAGTCAAGAAGCTTCTCGGATGAAACGTCTTCAAGAAACTTGAAGAAATCCAGACACTTTTCTTTCAAAGCTCCTTCGACTCTACGTAAGAAGTCCATTTACCAGTCGTTTAAACCTCTCTCACGCCTCGTTCTCTCCACCTGTAATTTTCCCTTTATTAACTTCCTGTTTCCTGAAGGTAAAGCCTCAGAAGCAGTGACACTTGTCCAGGTGACTGTGATGTCTTGTCTTTGCAGCCGATCGGAGTGCAGCTGATGAGCATTCAGACGAGTCCTAATGACAGGCTCCTCTGGGCGCTCGACAACAGAGGAAGCGTTTTCGTCAGGACCGGGCTCAGCGACGAGATGCCCGTTGGGACAGAGTGGGAGCTGGTTCCAGGTACTCACCTGTGTGACGTCATCACCCGCCTACATCTGTCTGTCTGTGAGTGTGTCTCACTGTGTGTGTGTGTGTGTGTGCGTGTGTGTGTGTGTAGGTCTGGCTGTGAGTCAGCTAGTCCTCAGCTGTCGGACTGCGTGGGTTCGTTGCGTAAACGGAGATCTGGCTCGCCGCTACGGCGTCTCTGAACGAAACCCAGCCGGAGATTACTGGAAGAAGATCCCTGGGAATGCCAGCTGGTTCACTGGTAAGACTGGTTTATTCTGTTTTATACTGGTGCACCGATACTTGACACAGCTGTGTCTCAGGTGTGTTTCTCCCTCTCTGCAGTCACTCCAGAGGATGAGTTGTGGGCAGTGACTCAACTTGGCGGATTGTCCCATCGGCTGACGAAACTCCTCCCACAGACGACCCTCAGACCCCCCCCCTCAAGCCCCGCTCTTGGAGGGGATGATGTTGATGACGAATGGGAGCTCATCTAACCTGTGACATCACAGCGTCGCCTGACAGTGCTGTGACACATCAGTGACAGCACTTCCTCTTCCTTAGGGACAGACAGGATGTGACATCACATCTGGGCTTCCTGTGATGGCTGCCACTCAGGTAGGCCAGGTCGTTGCTGGGAAATGAAGTGAATGTTTTATTTAGGTTTTAACAGGAAGCACTTTAATTGCAGAAGGGAGGGGCGGGGTGCCCCCTGAGATCAGTCCTGATTGGATCTATTCTACTTGGTTCTTTTTTTAACTTATTCTAACGGGGTCATTGTAAATAGAGATGTTAAAGGGATGTGTCACTGACTTGAAGCGGCTCCACTTTCTTCCTCTGAGGCTCATTAAAAGTCGTAGTTACCATGGTATAGACAGAAGCTCCGCCCACTAACACAGCAGCATGAAAACATGTAAAAATCCTCCGGAGACTGAATCAAAAGAAGAAATCGGGACTCTAATGGACAGCAGTGTAGTTCTGGTGTTGGCCCAGGTGTCTAGTGGACCTTTAAACACCGCCTGATTGTCTCTGACAGTGTTGCCATGGGATCTTAAGCAGCTGTGATGTCATCCTGTATAGACTGATTGGACAGAGTCAGTGTAAACTCACCTGTTGTGTTTCATCCATTAACTTAATAAACACATTTAAACACTGATGCAGCGTCAGCTTATTCAATGGTTATTGATTGGATTGACAGAATTTCAAGGAAAAATGAATAGATGTTTTCTGCCTTAATGTTTCAGCTGAGATCAACAAACCAGCAAACTCTCCAACAAACAGTCTAAGCCAGGGGTCGGCAACCCTGGGCATGTGTGCCACAGCTGGCACGCTAAGGGTTAGCTGATGGCACGACACGCAGTGAATTAATCTGAGAAGGTGCATTAAAAAATAAATAGCCGGGCCGGTGGTACACATTGCAGATTAGCTCGCGCAGACATATTAGTTTTGCCGCTTCTTACTGATGGTATCTTACTTAACCCCAACTGCCAGATTCAGCTTGTAATTGGCTAAAAGTAACTTAGCCTACTGGTGAGAGGGACGTTGTTAGCTGGCAGTTTTTTCAAGCGATGTTGAAATTTCCATATCCCAACACTTCAAAAGCTTCAGGAGCTGTCTGCTCAGCATCAGCACCGTGAGAAATACACGGATACATCCGTAGACTCGAGACAGAATTCACAATGTGTTTTTGGGACTTTTCAGGTGTATGGACCAATGTTTTCTTTTCTGATCAAACCAGCTGGATTTGTCTCACATTAACTGGTTGGACACAGAGGACATCGAAATGCAGCTGATTGAACTGATAAGCTCGACTCTGTGGGGGTCAAAGTTTGCAGAACTACAAACGCAGCAGGAATCCACAGCTGTGTGTGCTCATGGAGCTTGCATGTTAACCTGCTGGACATCACTACCTGACAAGTTTAACTGTCTTCAGAACATTGCAGAGGCCTTATTGACAGTATTTGGCTCTACATATCTGTGTGAGCAGATTTTCTCTCACATGAGTCCTCAGGTAGCCGTCTGAATGCTGGACACTGGGAGACCTGTGTCTCTGAGTGGGAGACCAGAGATCACATTAACATGTGTGTCTCTGTATTAACAAACATGTCATATTGGCTTAGTTTATTTTTCTTATCAGTGTTGTGAGGAGACCATAAATAGCATTTGTATTTTCTGTTGTACAGTTATGGAGTTCTTGTTATGGATAAAAAGTGTCTTTTTTCTGTTTCAAAATAGCTGATAACTATTCGCTGATAGCTGCAAACATCTGTGAACAAATATAATTCTATAAAGTGGTTCTAGATAGTGTGTAACTGTTAATATAGAGCGTTATTAAATTTATTGCTAATGCAATCATATGGCACACTGACATCTGAGGAAATTTTAGATGGCACTCATCATCAGACAGGTTGCCACCCCTGGTCTATACTATAAAAATGAATGCGTCCACATACTTCTGGATCTGCCAACATGGTACATGGAACTGCACAACACGCCTCATTTAGACATTGCATGCATACTTATCAGGTGCAACTTGGGATTCAGTGTCTTGCTCAGGTATGCAGGTCGGAGCAGCCAGGGATCAAAGCGCCAACCTTCTGATGAGAAGTCAGCCACGACAAATGAGTGACAAATGTTTTATGAGTAATAAAAGATATGGCGTGTGTGTGTCAGGTGATGTGAAATAGAAGGAAGGTTTTAATTATTTGACAGTGTCACATGATGTCTGAGAGTCTCTGTGATTCGTCACAACCCTCCTCCATATTCTGGATCCACTGCTCCTTTACTCCTGATTGGTCAGTAGACTACAATCAGAAACTTCAAGTACTGAAGTCAGATGCTGCAGATGATCAATACTCATACGGAGTTAAAAGCAAAAAGATCTTCATCACACCTGAGCACAGTCGTTGATTGACTGACACTTCAATAAAACCTGAGGACACGAGAAAATTATTTAAAAGGGAAAGAAGAATAAAAGGAGTGAGGTGCAGGTGAGTCCACAGGACTTCTGAGTTTTCTGAGGGGAAACGGGTCAACTATCTCACCTCAGGTTGTTTAGGATAAATGTTTGATCAGATTATATCTGATATTATCAGATTTTATATCCAACCCTAACTCATGTCATCAAATGTTTTATTCACTGAGGTCAAGAACAAAACAGCCTATTTGTTTGAAATAAGTCAATAAAAAGGGGGGAAGGAGGACAAGAGGGACAGAGCAGCTGGAGCTGAAGCGAGTCAGATCTGAGGTCAGAGTTCAAACAGATGCAGGTTAAAATTAGAGTTTTGCCACATCACTGCCACAGTGAATCTAACCTGAGAAGAAGCTGACACACTGGGTCCTGCTGATCAGACGGAGGCCAATTCAAACTGGGCTTTTTCTCCAAAAAAGAACTGGAAAAAATTCACACTAAATAAAAGATCCTTAACCATGATCAGATTTTACACAAGTATTTTATGAAATATTTCATTAGCAATTAATTCATTATTTCATCCACACCCAAGTGTCGTTTTAGCCTGCTGGATGGATGTAAGTAATCCTGATCTCATCAAAGTGGAAGGAGCGCTGTCGCAGATCATTCTTCCCAACAGCAGTTAGCGTCTATAACTCCTCAGTCACGACGTCACTGGACATTATGGACATCCACGGTCAAACTTCATGCATATTGCACTTTTTATATGTATGGACGTGTGCAGGTATATGTGTATGTATATTTAGTGTGTGCGTGTGTGCGTGTACATGTCTATACTTATAAGTAAAATACTTATCTATTACTTACATAGTAATAGTAATGGTAGAATAGTTACATTTATGTCTTGCATATTTCCACAACCCTTTATCCATAATCACATACTGTGTATGCCACCATTGTATATAGTATATTAATTATTTTTTATTTGTTTGTATTTTATTTGTTTTTTGTATTTTTCTTCTGCCATCTGCACCTAAACTGAGGTAATGCACAAATTTCCCTGCCATGGCGGGAGATCTGCCTCCGCCTTACACTTATCTTATCTTATCCTAAAATAATTTGAACAACACAAATCAGTGTGATTCAGCTAAACACCCGGCCTGGATTATCTGATCTTGTTCGATCATATAATCCTTTTTTGTCTGTCTCAACCAGATTTCAGGATTTCATCCTATTGGATTATGGAGGACCATTTTAAAACTTTGGGCTTTGCTGCACATAAAAAAATAACTTGATTATTTAGATTCACAAAGATACACCAGAGTCTGCACTATTGATCTAAAATTAATTAAACCATCATCAGGATCACAAACACAGCCAGGAAGGTTCGGCTTTTATCGCCATCACACTTTATTACAGTTTATTTACAATTTATTTACAGTTTATTCAGGTTTTATTAGGTGTGCTGTTTCCTGTCATGTGTCCTCGAGATCCAGCAGTGTCCTGTCTAAGCAGCTAATGAAACTGATTGGCAGTTAAACTTTATCTCAGGGCAGCTCCACCATACTCTGGGACCTAAAGCCTGATGCTTTCAGTCTATTTACATCATCCCTTTACGTCAATGGCACACTGTCCAATTACAAGAGGATTTCCATGCTAATATGATCTCACTACCAGCTGTGCAGCTGCAGGAAGTCGGGCAGCAAGCTGATTCGGTCTGCACCAAACTGCATCAAAGAACGCAATGCCTGCAGCAGCAGGGGAGGCGGCGCCACACCTTGGAGCCAGCTGAACACTTTTTTTCCCAAAAGGCTTTGCCAGCGCTGCGGTTCGTCCTGCAGCCGCTGCAGCAATGGTGGTTTGGGCAGAAAGAGCAGCAGGTAGTCCAGACAGCGCTGCGCGTGGTGTCGTTTCGACACGTCACAAGAAACAAGTCTCTGCAGAGCGGCGTCGAGGCCGTCGGGCCGTGCACCCTCGACCAGCAGCAGCAGCAAAGAATCGGCGTGCGACAGTTCCACCGCTAGCTGCACAGCACTCTTTCCTGCATCTGCAACGTGCGAGCAGCCGCCGCAGCTGTCCAGGTAGTCCTGTCGCTTGGTTTGCTCACCACAGTTCTTCAGAGCTGCCATCATCATACCGAGGATCACCAAGCGGTCATAGCGAACCGCAATATTCAGGTGTGGTGCCCCACTGCCGCGACAGCAGCAGTAACTGCACCGTGGCGCTCTGAGCGCGCTCACAGAGTACCTGTTGAGCAGGTATTGTGCATAGTCCTGGTGGTCATGTATGAGGGCGTAAAGCAGCGCCTCTGATGGCAGGAAGGCTCGAGGGTGGCCGTCGTCCCAGCAGAAGACCTCCATGCAGCGCATGTCTTCCAGCAGCCAGACAGGAAGTCGCTCCCGCACAGAGCAATAGAAGGAGAACGCCGTCCGCTCACATTGCCGCTCAGATGGAGACGAAGACACATAGTCAAGCTGAGAGGACAGCAGCCACGGCATCGCTGCACACCTGACGAGGTCCGAGAAGGTCTGAGGATGAATGAGGAGGTTTGATGACAGGTGAGGTGCTATGAAGAGTCCTGAGGAGGACTGTGTCTACCTGAGGACCTTTGAGAGTCTGAATCAGCCGACGCTAAGAGCCAATCCAGCAGTCTCATTCAAACCTTCATTCTAAGCAACTCCTCACTTTTATACTCCTCCCCCACCCCCTTGTCAGCTGCCTGTGGGTGTTGATTTTCCACTGAGGGGTTGAGGTGGAGGAGGCGGGGGGGAGTTCCTTGCATAGTGAACATTGTGGCCTTCAAACTGCTGACGAAAGTAAACAGGAACAGAAATGTTGAGCTGAGCAGACATCAATGGTTATTATCTGTGATCACACAGATAATTATTGATTGATTATTGATCAGAGGAATATGCTGATTAGATTTTCACATTTAAAATGAAAACATTAAGTTTTAAATCAAACACTTTAAAATTCCTGATTTATCATACATGTGGTCTTTGTTTTCAGAGACCCTCTCCACACAGTCCCCATTAATGTGTAAGGGCTGAGGGTCAGATTTGCTCCTGAAGTCAGCTATTATTTCTTTGGTTTTTGTCATGTTGAGGACCAGGTTGTTCCGGCTGCACCATGATCACAGATTTTCCACTTTGTCCCTGTATGCAGACTCATCTCCCCCGTGATGAGCCCGATCACAGTTGTGTCGTCCACAACTTAAAAATAGTGTTTCACGGGTGGGTGGGGGTGCAGTCGTGAGTGTATAGAGTGTATAGCACGGGACTCAGCACACACGCCGGTGTTGAGGCTGAGTGCTGAGGACCAATGGGGCCCTACTTTAACTCTCTGTGAGCGGTCACTGAGGTAGTCCTTGATCCAGAGACGGGTGGAGTGAGGGAAGCCGAGGTCGTGTAGTTTGGTTACCAGCCTGGCAGGGACGATGGTGTTAAAAGCTGAGCTAAAATCAATAAAAAGAAGCCTGATGTAACTGTCCTTTTGTTCTAAGTGAGTTAGGGTTGTATGGAGGGCTATGGCATCCTCTGTTGATCTGTTCTTCCTGTATTGAAACTGGTGGGGATCAAATGTGGCTGGGAACC